GAGAGAGAGAGAGAGAGAGAGAGAGAGAGAGAGAGAGAGAGAGAAAGAGAGAAAGAAAGAAAAGAAAAAAGACAAAAAGTGTATCACACATAATAGACACTCGATAAATGTTAGCTATCATCATTGTCACTTTATGTCACATGCTCCCCCACTAGTTTCCCACCATGGCTATCTCCATGCCACCCTCCATGTTGCTAGTCAGAGTGACCATTCTGAAGCACAGATCTGACCATCCCTCCCTGCTCAGACCTGCAGTGGCTTTGTATGGCCTATAGGTTAAATGCATAGTTCATAGACTGTCCCTAGTGCATTTCCTGATATGGTCAATGCTACCCTCACCAGCCTCAATTTCTGCTGCCACCTCCTGCCATACACACACCTCCCACCTTATCCTCCAGTAATAATAGAAAACCCTTTGTTCACAGTTTGCTGTCTTTGAACATCTATCTGCCTTGACTTGTCCTGAAGCAAACCTGTGTACCAGTGATTCTTACACACTCTAGGAAGCCTCCCTCCCCGCCCAGGGCCTGTCCCTTCCTTGCAAAGCTACTGCCTGTGCTCATGGGCACACCTAGAGGAGGAAGATTTTGCTCCTTCCATCACTAAGCACTGAACCTCCATAAGGAAGGGGATCAGAGGAGAGAATAAACAAAGGATCAAGACCCCATTCATCATAGTAAATGTTATTGTTACCATGTTTTAGTTCAGAGAGGCCCAGAGGGAGGAAGGCACTTGCCCAGGTTACTCAGCTGGTAAACACTGCAGCCAGGAGTGGACTCCTAACTTGTCTGAGTCAAAGTTCTGTGCTCAGATAATGATACACACACACACACACACACACACACACACACACACACACACAGAACTAATAATCTCAGGCCACTTGGAGTAGTGGAGTCCCTTGGTCTTCCAATTATTTCCTACTAGGAAGGGATCCAGGTTGAAATAAGTATTCATTTGTTTATTCAATAATTCATAAATTCAGCCAGGTGTGGTGGTATATACCTGTAATCTCAGGGATCTGGAAGGCTGAGGCAGGAGGATGGTGAGTTTGATCCTAGCCTGAGCAACTTAATGACTTAGCAAGACCCTGTCTCAAAATAAAAAATACAAAAGGGCTGGATATGTTGCTTAGTGCAAAGGCCTTGAGTTCAACCCCAAGCACCACAAAATAATAATAATGATAATAGTAATAGTAATAATTCACTCATTTATTCTCATTCATTTACTTCTCATTCTTGCATTCATTCATTCACTCACTCATTCACAATCACTATTGTTTACATCTGCAATTTCTACTCCCAGACGCCAACCCTACCCTCTGAGAGCTCAGAACATGGACAGAGTCAGGCCAAGGGACAAGGTGGCATACATAGGGTGGGAATGGAAGACAAAGAGCTTTTGGTGAACATTGGAAGATGACCAGGATTTACCAGGTGGCCCTGGAAGGATATTCTAGCTAGAGTCTGCAGCATGTGTAAAAACCCAGTCCCTTGAAACAGTTGCAGAAAGAAGGTGCCCTGAGGATGTGGCAGAAGTGGTAAGGGATCATTGCTGGGAGAAGGCTGGAGACTTGGTCAGGGCCAGGGTCAAGATTAATTTAGAAGTTAGGCATGCAGCAGGGTTAAGGTTTGAGTTGGGTTTGGGTTCCGCGATTAGATCTTGAAACCAGATTATTTGTTTTTAACCTGCTGCCTTTTCCATAAGGATTCTGGTGCCTCGTGTCCGGGGTTTATGATCAGGCCTCCCAAGAACCTAAGGATCTAGATGAGCTTTAGCAGTGGGATTCAAGGTGCAGTAAATTTGGGACACTCTAGGGAGCAAAACCACATCTACTGGGTAAAGCGTCTTCACTTTCTTCCTTCCTACTGCACAGATGCATTGACTGTGTGGTCTTGGACAAGTCATTTAACCTTTCTAGACCTTCTAATGCTACCTGTTAAATTCCTGCCTGATCAGAATGGAGTCTGTGTTCTGGGTGCCTTCTTTGGGTCAGGCACCTTGGGGCAGCACAGATGTGCCCATCGGCTACCGACAACACCCCAGGGTCCAGTAGGAGTGACCCTCAAATCCACCGCCAAGCATACAATAGGTACTCCCTCAAGCCTGGTTTCTCTCCGCTGCTGCCCCCACCTCCCCACTTACCTTCTCCAGGAGCCCCTCAGGCGGGCCGGCCGGGTGTGCCGACTCACCTGTCCGGAGGAAGGGGCTGCGGCACCTTCGGCCTGGCTGCCCCCTGCCCGTGCCGGTCCGGGGCCAGCGCCAGCGCAGCGTATCCCGCATCCCGCGCTGCCCCAGGCAGGGAGCAGCGCAATTACCCTAATTACAGCCCGGCCTTGGCGGCGGTGGTGAGCGCGGCCAAGCCGATCCGAGAACGCCCCCGGCCCAGGGCCGAGCGTGGGAACCGCCGTGGCCTCTGCCTCGGGCGGCGACCGCCTGGGGGACCCCGCCCTCCCGCCGCACGGCCGCCGAGGCGATAAGCCCGCCCCCCCCCGCTCGCACTGGCGCTAATTACTGGGCAGGCTGGGCGCTAGCGGCCCCTTTCATCTGCAAGGCCCATTAACTGCCCTGTCCTCACTCCTGGGTGGGGAGCAGCGGCGGGCCCGCAGTCCCAATTGCCAGGGGAAGCCGAGTGGCCCAGCGGGCGAGGAGGTTCCCACGCGCCCGGGACGCCCTGCCCGCCGGCGTGAACCCCCGCGTCCGCCCCGCGCCTTATCCACTCCCCCTTCCCACGCCCACTCGCTCGCTCACCCATTGGTCCATTCCTGCGCTAATCGTTTCCTGACTGCCTTCTAGCGACCGTTTCCTTCTGAGAACATGGAAATAATAGCCCGAGCCTCACAAGATGGTCCTCAGCTTTGGGCGGCGTGGGGAGAAACCGGTAGCTCATGCAGTCAGTGCCTGCTCTGTGCTCCACCGGTGCCAACCAGACCCCGGCTTCCGCCCATAACTACCCCGGATGGCGGATGGCGTACCCCCCACCTCACAGACTGCCTCGCAGAGCGGTGATGGGCCTGGCCAGCGTCACGCGGCTACAGAAGCCTCAGACGTGTGCCCTCCACGCATCCCCCACCACTCCACCACAGTGACTGTGCAGTCAGTGCCAGTGTCACCAAATGCTGGCATTGCTGGAGCACTTCCGCTGGGCCAGGCACTGGGCCAAGGGCTTGCTGTGGATTGTCTCATTGAATCCTTGCACCAGCCTTGGGGGCTGGGTATTCTGATTGGATTTTCATTTAACAGAAGAGGAAACGGAGGCTGAGAGAATAAGTCACTTCCTCAAGGGCACACAGCTAGAGGTGGCAGAGGTGAAGTTTGAACCCACCAAGCTGACAGAGCCCCTGAGACTGCACTGAACAGTGGAAAGGAAGCACCACTCTGCCCCCACCCTCATGTCTTCTCCAGCCTCGGGCTTAGGATAGGCAAAGATCTGTCCAGTGCCTTCTTTTTGCTTCTCAGTCTAGTGACTGGGTCAAAATACTCAGGGAACAGTTTTAAGATTTGATGCCGAGGAAAGGCAGGAGATAGAGAACAGCAACCTGAATGTTTGCACTCTCTGGGCCTCAGTTCTCACCTATAAAATGGACACAGTAGTCCCCAACCACCTCCCTTGAAGCACTGTGATCATTTGTTGTTCTTCAGTTCACTGATTTTGCACTTGATCTTAGCCAAAAGGCCGAGAAGCGATTTAATTCACTGATTTTGTTCATTCACTTACATATTTCTCTGTTTTCTTCCCTTTTTTGTTAGTATATATTTGCGATACGTAAGAAATACATTCATCATGGGGAATTGGAACACTGACACATCGCATCTTAATCCTTTTTTCCTCCCCTTCTCCTCCCATCTCCCCTCACCTCCAGATCTCTTTCCCATCTCCACAGTCTATCTCTCTGCTTCCTGCGTTGCTAATTTTGCTCCTAAGCTGTTTATACTTTGGCTTCCCACATAAAAGAACCCACGTAATACTTAACCTTCTGTTCACTTATGCATTTCTTGAGTGCCAACCATGAACTCAGTGCCAGGGCTAGGGTGCCCAACCATGGAATTTGCCAAGCACTTAGGAGGTTCCCAGGTTGCAAGGCTGGAGTGCTAAAGTCGAGACAATCCTGAGCAAGTCAGCAAGTTGGTTGCCCTGCCTGTGCTGGATGCTGGGGATCTGAGCCCCATCAGAGCCTGGCCTGGTCTCTCTGGGAACTGGAAGATCGCCTGCCTACAGGGAGGGATGCCCCATGCCAGCTGTCGGCATTGGGAATAGGAGAGGCCGAGGCACCTTGGTGATGCACTGTGCTGAACTTTTTCCCAGTCCCCCAGCACCTCCAGGCACCGACTCCCCATGTGACCTCAAGCAAGCCACTTTACCTCTTAGAGCTGCCTCCCATCCTTTCTGGGGGTGGGGGGTGTGGTTGGGTGAGCTCCAGCCCCCTTGGGATGGTGGCAGGAGGCCTTTCCAGGAACTCCCAAGGGAAATGGACGCCCCTCCCCAGGGGCGCAGTGCCTACCAGGAACTTCATCACTGCTGGGCTCTTGTCAGTAGCCAGGTGAAGACATGCCTGAAAGCACCTAGAAAGGTCAGCCAAAATGGTCCTTAACCCCAGCATGTCACTGACCATCGGTAAGGCTCAGTTTCTTTATCTTTAGGATGGGGGCAATTTTTCCTACCTCCCACTCTTGGGGAGTAAGTGAGATTCTGAAGTTAACAGGAAAAGCCAGGTGTTCGGGACACACTTGCCTTTTTCTGTACCCCTGCTCTCTGTGCCCATTGGCCTGGCCTTAGCAGATGTCCCCTTTCTGCCTTCCTCATTCTCCTCCATTTGTCTAACCTTCAGTGGACATGCACCAAGTGCTGATCGTCTTAGGAAATTAGGCAAGGCAGAAGGGTTTTTAAAAAATAGGATCTTTTTTCTCTTGTGGGAAGCCACAGTGACTCCTGGAATCTCAGAGCAGAGGGAGGAAAAAGAGCTGCAGCAGTCACGACACTGGGGAAATAGAACACCAGCTACTTCACTACACCTCTTTCTTGTACTGTCATGTTCTGCCTGGGTATCATTTCCCTTCACCCCTGGTCCCCAACCATCACCACCCAGGGGAAGTCTGCCTCAGTTTCCCCAGGCAGGGTAAACTGTTCCTTCCCCCAGGAAGTCTGAGCATAGCCTGTCTTCCCCAAGGCCTCTAATATCTTTGTAGCCCACTACAACCAAGCTAGGGTCCAGCTTATTATAGCTAGCAACATGCATGGGAAGAAGGGAATCAGAAGAAAAAGGGGCAACCTGAGTCTGTGTTTAGATTTGTGGAGTCACCAAAAGAATTCCTGCCCACTCTGTGCCCAGGCACTCCCTCCGGGAAAAAAAAAAAGGGACAGAGGGAGGGTATCTGCTGGGGTGGGGTGCATTCTATCTCCTTTCCCTATCTTCCTGCCTCCCCTCTTGCTCCTCTTTTATATTTTGATGATAGCTGTCATCAAGCCACCTTTTGTTGCAGGAGGCTGCTGGGATAGGGGAGTTATCCAACACAAGGGCACGCAGGTGTGGACATCAGCTTTGCTAGAAGTATGAGTCTCTTTGAAAAAAGTCATTTCCTTGTGTATTAGAGGCTTGACCAGAAGACCTTGATGTTCTTCCAAAGGTAATCCTAGCAGGCAGAACGCCTGAGACTTTTGAACCTTCCTATCCACAATCTGTGGTCTAAAACTAGTCTGTCCAGAATGGTAGCCACTAGCCACATGTGGCAATGGAACACTTGACATGTGGACAATTAAAATTGTGCTGTAGGTATTAACACAGGAAATTTTAGGATGTAATACAAAAAAGTGAAATATTCATTTTTTAAACTTTTATTAATACATGTTTGCAGTACATGCAGTTTACAATCATCTTGGGGAGTGGGTACATATACATACTATAGCTTGCTTCTTTTTTTAATCCCCTTCCTTCCTCCCTCCCTCCTACTCTAATTCCCCTGTTCTGATTTTCATTCTTGTTCATATTATTAACCTTCGCTCATGTTATGGCATATGTTTACATTTACTGAGATTGATAGCTTCCTGTACATGCGTATCTTTATTCTACTCATTTCCCCTTCCTCTTCTCCTCACCCCTCGCCCTTGTTCCTTTGGATTCTTTCCCTATTGGCAAGAGATCCATCCCCTGGTCCCCTTCTATCCATCCTTTATTATTCTCTTTGTTTGTATTTTGTCTCACTCCAATGAGAGATACCATTTAAGCTTTGTGTGTCTGGTTTATTTCATTCAGCATTATATTTCCAGATGCACCCATTTTCCTACCAGTGTCTCAATTTGTCATTCCTTACAGCCGAATAGTATTCCATTATATTTAGATACCTTTTTTTTTTTTGGTACTGGGGATTGAACTAGGATCCTTGTGCTTGTGCAGCAGGCAGCGAAACCACTGAGCTAAATCCCTGGCCCATAGATACCATATTTTATTTATCCAGTCACCTGTTGATGAGCATTCCAGACCACTTCCAGGGTTTAGCTATTATGAATTGTGCTGCTATAAACATTGGTATGCATGTATTGCTGTAGTATGATGTCTTAAACTCTTCTGGGGAAGATACCTAGAAGGGGGATAGCTGGATACTATGGAATTTCTAATTTCAATTCTTTGAGAAATCTCCATAATGATTTCCATAATAGTTATACGAGTTTACATTCCTATCAACAATGTAGAAAGTTTCCTTTTTTACCACAGCACCCCAACATTTGTTATTGTTTGATTTCTTAATGATTGGCATTCTTTCTGGAGTAAGATGGAAACTTAGCATTGTTTTAATTTTCCAGAGATGTTGAACATTTTTTCTTCTCTTTTCTTTTTTTTTTTTTTGGTACCGGGGATAGAACTCCAGTCCTTGTGCACTTTTTCATATATCTTCCTCATTTGTATTTCTTCCTCTATGAAGTTTCTGTTCATTTTACTTGCTCATTTCTTGACTGGGTCTTTAATTTTAGGTGGTTTAATTTTTCATACTGATTATTTGTTGCAATGATATTATTTTGGATGTAGTGGGTTAAATTAAATTTGCTATTTCAATTAATTTTACTTGTTACTCTTCACCTTTTAAAATGTGACTATAAGAACACCTCCAATTTCATATGTGACTCGCATTTATCTTTCCCCTACACAGCACTAAGGAGCTGAAGTACCAGCTATGCCTGGACTTCCTGGCACCGGTCTGAGGGAAGCACTAGGTTGTGACACCTCATGAGGAGAAAATGTTGCTTCTTTCCCTCGAAATGAAGGCATCTCAATTATCCTCTTCACCCTTGAGTGGTTAGTTGCTGGGGTCATTAAAGAGCAGGGACCATCTTCTAATGCTACTCTTAGTCCAAAGACTACAGAGACAGAATCCAGACATGCCCTTGAAATTCCCTCCCAGTCAGGCTGCCAGCCAAGAAAAGCCATGCTGTCTCATCCAAAGGAAGCCCATGGTGGTCCTTCCTGCCTGGCCCAGGTTGGGGGGGTGGGGGAGTGGTCAAGAGGCCACAGGGAATCCTCACCCTACATCCTATAAGCCCAGCCAGGCCAGCACTAAGCTGGACATTCAGGAAGCACATGACTCTTCCCCCAAGGAATTTACACACCAACCAAGGAAGCAGCGCACACCCATAAGACAACTAGACACAATCGCCCAACACCATAGACTGGAAAACAGCAGGTCTCTTGTGAGATATGGGCAGAGAGATAGGGGCCCCGTTTCTGTTTCTCTCTGTCCCACCCCCACCAATATTCCTTTCCACATTTTGAGAAGGAAATGATGACAGGGCCCTGTGGTTAACAGCAAAGCCTGAGCACTTCTTCAGGTGTAAGTGTCAACCCCAGCTCAGCACGTTGCTTCTGTGTAACCTAGGGCATTCACCTCCTTCCTTGACTCTGAAGAAATTCCTTCCATTGAACTGAAACCTACTTCTTGGTAATACTCACCCACCATTTTCAGATTCATCATCAGAGGTCACCCAGGCCCTCCCACCGC